CTCCTTCAAGGCTGAGGACACCAAGTCAGAAGTAACTAAAGTGATTTTACAGGGACATCTCATTGCCTGCATTTAAAATTTCCAGTTTCTGAGGGCCACCAGATAGCTCAGCGGACTAACGCGCCTGCTTAGGCAGAGCGCAGCGGCCGGTTTTTGATCCTTGGTGTGCTATGCTGGCCCTGCCCCTGGGGCCCGCTGATACTGGACGTGGTGGTGCGCGACTGTAATCTCAGTTCTTCAGAGGCTGGGTCTTATAGATTAGCTCAGTTGTTAAAGTGCCTGCTCAGGAACACCCAGTCAGGCTCAGGGGACTGAGGTTTGATTCCCAGCTCCACATGCCTTACCAGACCCGTCCTTAAGACAGCCTGAGCCAGCCAAAAAAAAAAAAAAAAAGAAAGAAAGAAAGAAAAAAGAAATCCTGCTCTTAGGAGACTGAAAACAGGAGAATCACTATGAGTCATATCTACGTTAGTGAGACTCTGTAGGCCTTGTACTAAATACACAAAGATAAAAAATAAATAAATAAAAAATATTAAATAAATAAATAAAAGGTCCAGTTCTAGACCTCCTGGGGTGATGCCTAGAAGTTCTAAGTCATTGTCCTGAATGGCAGCCACCTTGGACTCCAGGAGAGGCACAGCCTCGCACACCACCCCACGATGAGGTCGCTTCCTGCACAGGCACTGTTACCCCATAACAGGAGCCGCAGCTGCCTCCCCAACACAATCTGTCATCTCCTGATGGCCACTGAACTGCTGCCTCAAGTGGTGCTGGCTCCCAGACCTCACAGAAGCCTTCCTGAGTGTCAGTATCTGAACTGAGAGACAGCAAGGATGGCCTAAGCTGCCAGCTATGTAACCCCAGGCCAGTGCCTATGTTCCCTTCACTATAAAACCACAGTTCCTGTCAGCCCCTCAGTGACTGTGCTTCCCAGTATGGTCATGCTGATTAAAGCCCCTTTCTTCCCCTTCATTAATGTTCTTCTCCTTGATTGGTATTTTTTGTCTTTTTTTTTTTGTGGAACCAGGGATTGAACTCAGACCCTTGTGCTTGCCAGGGAAGCACTTATTCCACTGAGTCATCTCCCCAGCCATGATTGGTATTTTTTGGATGAGTGATGGAGCTGGTCTGTTGAGGGTCTCCAGAGCCAGCACTTTTACCCTAAAATTCTGGTAACTACTCTTTTCATTTGTTTCTATTGCATAATATTCAGAAAACCCAACTCTGGTTCATGTTAGAAGGACTGACAGTGGTCTGACAAGTCTCCCTTGTCTGCCCAAAAATCTTCTCTAAAGAGAGGTCTGAGGGATGATGGAGAACTGTTGGAAGCTGAGACAGGTGTAGGTTGCCTAGAACCCTGGAGATTCACACGCACATGCTAAAATTAACACATTTAAAGGCAATTTGACAAAATGATTTTCAAGCTGCTTTGAAACCCAAGGGGTAGCAGGAAAGGGGGAAGATCATGGGGAATAGACAAAGGGGACTGAGAAGGAACATTCATCCAGTAAGGTGACTAGAGGATGTCTTGTCTAGAAGTGGTTCTGGGCCTCTTTCCAGCCAAGAAATTGTTAGGAATCATAAAATCCAAAGTCAGACTTGAAAGAGGGGCTGTAGTCCTCTCACTGTTCAAATGGTGAAGACAAAGCTTGTGGCCATGAACCCATACTAAGGTCCCAGGAGAGGCAGCTGGGAAAGACAACCATGTTCCCGGAGAAGAGCTTTCCACCTGCCTGGATGGGGCCTGACGAGCCTGTTATAGATATACTCTATCTGCCTGTTGAATTTACTGTAAGAGACCCTGAGATCATAACGGTTCACAGGCCATTACGGGGCTACTCTGAAAGTGCTGGTCTGGGGGTAACCTCAGCCAGGGTGCCCACAGCACTCCATTGTCCTAAATGTTTTCACATCCTTTACCCGTTGGTCCACAAGGCAGAATCTGTTGTCCTCTTTCATAATCAGGAAACAGGAGCAGAGGAGCTAGACGATACATTCAAAACCACTGGCGGGCCCTGAGAGAGCTCTAACCCTGTCCCATCTCATTATGTCCCTCTTTTTCCTATCAGATCCTGGGAAACTAAAAAGGTATTTCTGGGCTGCTACTATACAGCCCTCTACTCCCCCTTGGACAAGAATTCTCTGGTTCTTCTCATGGGAGAATTTACCACTCAAGCCTCAAGGCTCTTGCCAATGAGTTTCGGCCCTTTTCCAAAAACAGTAAGAGGTAGTCTTAGTGATGCTATCTTCAGTCCCCAGCCCAAGGGTGCACAGGACTCTTCACTGGCAGAAAGGGTGGGCTGGAGAGGAGTCAGAGGCCCAGAAACAGGGGAGGCTGAGAGCCCATAGCCAAGCCCCCTCCCTGCTCCTGCACCCTATTGCAGACAGAGTGGCACCTGAACCTCCCTCACTAGGTCTTCTGAAGCGTAAGCTGTGAATTCACAGTGCCCTGCAACGGAAGCGTCTTTTTACCTTAGTTGAGATGCAAAGAGACAAGTTTGCCACTAATCTTTTGGTGGAGACACACATATCAAAAACCTGCAAGCGAGCACACAGGGCTTCATGTCGGGGATTTGCAGCATTCCTCCGCCTCCCTCACTGCAGAGGCTGAGCCTGACTTTCAAAAAAGGGCATGAAGCCCTTGGCGAATCTCAGAGGAAAACTCCCCATGTGTTAGTGCCAGGGACTTTGGGCCCCTTTAGGCATCTCCCCCGAGGCTTCTCCAAATAAGAAGGAAGTCTGAGTGAAAAGCTGAAAATGTGGAGACTGTCCAAGAAATGCACATTGCTGATTCCTAGTTGTGTCTGTCTGAATATTAGATGCAAATAAGTGTTAATAAGTACAGTTGGAAAAGCTAATGGGAAAACCATCTTTCCCAGGAGGATTGCTGCACAGATGTGCAGGGCAGCTAGGATGAGCTGACTGGCCCCATTCACTGGTCACTGTGTACCCGGAGTGGACTCAGCTCAGCTCCAGGAAATAAAGCCTATGTAAATTTGTTCCATTGGGACACTCAGTGTCTAGAGTCTCCTCCCAGCTTTGAGGCTGGGTTTGGGGAATGGAAACTCACATTCTCTCTCGCTCGCTCGCTCGCTCTCTTTGTGCATTTGTGTGCATTTACCCTCTGGCATGTGTGGGACACTGAAGAGTTTCTCCTGACCACTACATCTTTGGGGTCAAAGTCCTGTGGATCTGCCCAGATTCAACTGCAGACTAGGAGCTTGTTGGCATCTGTCCAATCAAGCTGTGGCCAGGTGGTAAGAGGGCTCCATAGAAGGGATGAGGGACCACAGGGACAGGGACAGGGACAGTATCAGTGTGTTCTGGGGTGGGTGGGAGGCAAGTAACCTTTTGTTCACTGCACCTTTGGATGGCTCAGCATTCTACCAGCCTATTCTCCCTAACATTTGAATCCTTGTTTCTTGCATTCAGTTTATTCAGTATACATCTGACAGGTAGACTAGGTTGATTTCAGCTCCACACTTACCTGCAGCTGCCTGGTGCAGTCAATAGAGCAAGGTTAGGCCACAGCACAGCCCTGGGACAGTCTGAGCTCAGCGCTGAAGAGGGAACCTCAGCTCAACCCAATCCACTTTAAAACTAGCACTGGGTCTGGTCCTGGCTTGGCTATCCTCTAGATTTGTGGATTCCAGCCACTTGGTGGCATTCTACACCTTTGGGTTCCTCATCTGTAAAATGGGATAGTAACACTTTGTTGTTGCACGAAAAGAAGGAAGGTCATGAGCGTGTCAGCACACTTCAGCTTCTGTTCTCATCTGTCCTGCCCTATCTTTGGATGCTCTGAGCTTATCTGGGGCATGAAGAAGGCCACCTGGGCCTGCCATGTAAGCCACAGTGCTAGGGGCTCCCCGGCTGTCCTGAGAAGTGGCTCTGCACCTTGCCAGGGCTCCCCCACCCCTCTCCAATCATTCAAGGACCAAAAGTCCTCCCCACTCCCCAGGTTCATCTCTCATCTGGGTCAGCCCGCTGGAGTCAGGCCAAGCCACCAGCAGATACAATCAGAGAGGAGGAAGAGCAACCTTCACTAGGCTTTACTAAAAGCTCCACAAGCTTCTGAAAATACTGAACGTTCCTTCAAGCCCAAGCGGTGACGGATTTACACAGTTTCACACAGTTTCCAGGGAGAAAAGAGCCTACTCAGCCCCTGCTCGCCTCCTGCACGTTGGGGCTGCCTCTTCCCAGGAAGAGCAAGGCCCGAATCTACAGCTCTGTGCCTGAGCTTGCTCTCCCTAGTGCTGGGAACCAATCACACCTCTACTCTCAGTGTAGGCCCCCTGCTGTAGGGGATCGGTCTGTTGGCTCAGCTCTCAGGCTGCTGATCCATGAGACAGGGTCTTCAAGGAGGAAGCCCTCAAGGGAGGAGGTGGGTCACTGGGTACTTTAAGCAGCATCCTAAAGCCCCAGGCTTTGGGGGATCGATGCAAATAAGTGCAAGACCTTGGCTGAATTTTATGCCAAACTATATAGCCTAAACACCTTCCCAGACCTTTCTCAATATCAATCCTCTGCCTCCTACAGGTCCTGTGCCCTCGCACCACTGGGTCCTGAGCACACGACCCTGCCCAACTGTGGTTTAAGCCTGCCCGCGGCTCTTCGTCCTTTTCCCAGATCACTCCTGGGCAGTGGCCGTACTCTGGCTGCGCAGTGGAGCCAAGAGCCAGGACAGAGTCCAGCGTTCAGGGATCCTGGAGATCCGCTCAGGCCCAGCCCCGACCGCCCCACCCCCGCGTCCTCCGGACCGCACCCAGTGGTGGCTCCATCGCAGCGTGCTGCCAGCCGGACCGCGGGAGCCGAGCCGCAGAGTGCGCGTGGGCGCGGCGCCCGTGAGCTCCCGGGAGAGTCGAGCTATCACCGGAGAGATCCCCTCCCGCCAGGCCACCACCGTCACCGCCACCACCGCGGGGCGGGGCCCTGGCCGGGGGCGGGGCGCCGGGCGGGCGCGGCGCTATTTCCAGCCCCGCCGAAGGCTTCGGTAGCACTTCGCTGAGAGCCTTCCCCGCGCGTGAGGCGAATCCGGCAACGCTGCGGAAAGGAGAGAGGACAAGGCGGTGGCGGAGGCTGGGGACGGACCCCGACCGAGTGCGAGGAGGAACGTGGCCCCGCACCCTCTCCCTCTCCAGTGTGCTTGGGACGCCGGCCCCACACCGCTCGACCGCACTGGGTTCAACACAGAGCTAGCGAAGACGCCAGGCAGGAACCGGGGCGAGGTCTTCCCGGCCGCCTGGGCGCCCCGAGCGCAGGATTCGCCCGCCGCGGAGAACCGCGCCCGGACCAGGAGATCCCGTGGCTTCCCGAGCGCCGCCTGCGCCAGGTAAGTAGCTGCGCTCCTGCCCCACCCCTGTTTCTGTTCTGCGCAGGCTGCTGATCCCAGGGGACTCGTGGGGCACGGGGCGGAACCGCACCGCTCGCCAAACCAGCCACCCGAAGTGGATTGGAGTCTGAAGCCGCGGACCCTGATGGGGCGTGCGTGGTTCTCGTCTGGCGGCACTTTGGGGACCGGCCCTAGTAGCGGGAACTTTAATTAGACTTTTGGTCCTCGGATTTCACTCGTCGCCGCGCGTGTGTGAACGGCTGCCCCTCGAGCTCTCTGGTCCCTGCAGGCCTCCGGTCCCCTCCCAGCCCTGGGTGCGGGGCGCGTGGAGGCCGGGTCCGGCGCAGAGCCGCGAGCGTCCTGAGGGCTGGGCTGGAGCGCGGGCTTTCCTGGGGAGATGGAGCTGGGACTCCTGGGGCTGTGGTGTGAAGCGAGGAGAAGAGAAGTTTGAGGCTGCCATGGTGTTCTGCCCGGCGGCAAAAGGTTCCTGCGCTCTGTAGCGCGCATCCCCACCCCGCGACTCTCCAGGGCACCGGCCTGTGGGCCCGGCGAGTGTGTGCGTCAGTGCTGGTGCGAAGGTGCGCGCGTGTGTTCCAGAGTGCGGGAGCCCGAGCCTCGGAGGCTTGGGGGTGGTGGTAATGAAAGAATCCGCTTTGCCGCGGGACGGAGCCGAGCTCTGGCGACCGCTGCAACTCCAGCTGCGAAGGCTCTGGCCTCACTGGAAGCCGGCTGGAAGGTGCGTTTGCAGTTTTTTTGCTGTCAGTAGTGGCTCTTGGATCCCTCTTCTTTCTCTGGCGTGTGACTCGCGCTGCCCTAACTTTCCTAGTACATCCTGTCGCCAGGCCCTGAGACCCCGACCCTGGCCTGACGGTTCCAATAGAGAAGTGGGGACCGATCCTGAGACTCTCTGTCCCGCAGCAGCCGACTCCAGGATTACAAGGAACCCCGCCTCCCTGAGCTGACCCCCAGCTAGACCCTCTCAGCTTCCATGTCTCTTGCTAAGAGGCTTCCCGGGCTGGGCTCTGTATCTCTTGGAGTGATTGTATTCAGGCAGCAGAGCTCAGGGGAGAGGCGCTGGAGTGCTGCACTGGAGGACTCTAGGGTGGAGAGTAGGGGTGAGGGGGCAGAGAGGTAAGGGACGGATTAACCCTTTCTGGGGATGTTCATGCGTTACACTTTCTTTTTCTGCTTTGCCTCGACCAGTCCGGGAGGGTCTGTCCTAAGACCTGGCCTAGGACAGAGCAACCTCTAGAGCAGGAGGGACAGTACCCTCTTTAAATCCTTCGGATCATTATGACCTCTTCTGACAGTCCTGTCCCTGAGGCTAGACAGACAGGCAGCAGAAAGGAGTGCCACGAGTCCCAGTAGGAGATCCTCTTTCAATCAAGACAACCTGCCATCTATGTGTCACACCCTCAGGGACACCACTGCCTATTCTGGAGCCTTCAGCAGATTTGCCTCTCTAATGTGACCCACTGGAGGGATAACATTCAGATCTTGGAGACTTTGAGCTACATTGGGATGATCGATAGTTCAATAATATTTGAACATAGAATACCTCAAAGTCTGACCCCATCCCACTGCCTGGTCTGGTGAGTCCGGGAGGCACAAATGACATTATTTATTTATTTACTGGGACTCAAACTCTGCAAGAGTGAATTATGTTCCCTGGGAATTGATTTTTTAAAAGACCCCAAATTAAAGAGTCAAGGTTTTCTTACAGCAAGGTCAAAGATTAATTATTTATAGAGAAACATCAATTAGCTGGGGAGGGGCATGTTTATAAATTGCCTGAGTGGGCAAAATAAGATCTTTGGCTCTTCCCTGGCTCCTGCTGGGAGAGGAGAGCTGGCTTGTCAGACCTCCTGGGCTTGGCAAAGTGCTGCCCGGCTGTGACCGGAGGAGGATGCTTTGTAACTCATCCTTCAGAGGCTGAGATGCCTTTTTCATCTTGTAACTGGAATATCGCTTGGGAAATTTCATGCATATTTGCTGTGTTTCCGTAATGAACATTTACTGATTACAGAGTATCAAGGGGGTTTCATTTTTTAAACATTTATTCAAATCTCTGTTTATGTAAGCTAATAAGTCTGGGAAAGTTCAGTAACTACTTTTTTTTTTTTTTTTTTTTGTTTTTGGCTGTTTGGTTGTTAGGGAAGTGTGGCTGGCAGATTGATCTCTGAATTTGCCTTCTATTCACTTATAAGCAGCAATGTCAGATTTTCCTGATTGGAAGCATTGCATCATTCAGGCTGCTTTTGCTGCTCTTCACTCTGAGTTCTAGCCGGCGGCAGCACTATGCTAGGTGCTTTCTGTGGTTTTGCAGATCGGAGGAAGGAAGGGTGGGTGCTCTTACTGCTGTTTGCTAAAGCGTCTGGTGGATGGAGTGAGGAGGGAGGGAAGGTGTGGCCCCCAGCTCACTTCCCCTGTTCCTCCCTGCTGCTTGGCCTGGAGTCTGAGACCCCTGGAGTCTTAACTTGCCCTGCTGCTTCCAGCTTGGAAAGTCTCACCCCTGAGTTACCTTGTGTGGCATCTGGGTTGGAGAACAGGATATGGATGTAGCTACAGGCAGGAAAGTGGACAAAGGATTACTGCAACCCTTTAATGAGCATCTGTGGCAATTAGCATCAGTATACATGGTGGGAAGCAAGGGGCCAGCCTTTCAGCTAATCAGAAGGTAATGAGTTATAAAAGGAGATTGATAGGGAGCTGACCCACAGAGGTCAATGTGGTCCTGCAGAGAAGCAGCCAAAAATAAAATAACTGGGCCCATGAATAAAACGTTAAGGATGGTGTGTGGATGTATATGCAACGTTGGCATTCTGGGGCCTCAGGAAGTTTGGCAGGGATATGCAGCCTGCTTGGTGACACTGTGGTACAGTAGGCTCCTTGGTGCTAGCTTTGGATTTACTGTCAGTACTTATCTGACTCCAGGGCAGCTGTGTCCCCTCCTTCCTGGGAGAAGGCTGTCCAAAGGCAGAGGAGATGCAAAGGCTTGGACAACCCGGGGACAGCTTCATTAGCTCAGGTGGCAGAGGGTGCAGGAGGCATCACTCATTTCTTATCAGCCAAAGGATATGTGAGCCTATGGTCAGTAAATCACTGTGGCAGAAGATGAGATTTACAAATTGGTCATGGAAAAAAGTTGTGACTTTTACCCCCTGTGCAAAACTACCTGTCATGTGTGATCTGGCGCATCTGCTGGACTTATTCCTGGGTTAAGAGATTCAGGAGTATAGCCTAGGCTGCCAAGAGGCTGGGGAAAGCTATGGGTTGACACCGTAAAGCAGCCCTGATCCTACCTCCAGGGCTACCTCTGGGGTAGCCAGAGAGTGTCTGTTGGCATGCAGGGCTGGGGCTGGGGCTGGGGCCGGCAGACACAGTTACCCTCCTGGGCCAGCTGCCTGGATCTGGCATTTCTGCTCCCCACTTGGAAGGCTACATGTTTAAAGAATCAGTGTTTTGGGGGGATGGTAACTGAGCATGAGGTCCATTTCCTGCCAAACCATGACCAGAGCTGGCCCCGGCAAGTGGCATTTATTTTAACTAAATTGGAATTGTCAACATTGAAACCTGGAACCAAATGACTCTCTATGCCACTCCCAGGGCCAGCCTGGCTGTCGCTCTCTTTCCTTCTGCTGTCAGTGAATGTTTGTTGAGCAGGTATTAGGTGTCTGTCTCTGTGCTGGGCCCCAGAAAAAGGTGAGCAAAGTAAGAGTGGACCCCCGACCTTGGGGGGGCTTATAGTTGACAGACTCGCTCTCATTCACTTATCACTCACTAACTCTTTCTCTGCCAAAGACATTAGTTAAAAACAGTAACCAAAGCTTGTGTGACTCTAGGCTTGAAGGAGATATAAAGGGAAGGGCTGGGTTGTTACAAAATCTACAATAGAATAATCTGACCTGGAACTTGGGACTATGAGGACTGAAGAAGTACTACTCAGCTGAGATCTGCAGGAGGAGGTGGTTGGAAACAGGATGATGTAGGAAGGATGGAGGAAGGGAGGAAACACTTCGGGTACAGGTAAGTGTGTGCATGGAGATCCTCACCCAGGGAATGTACGAGAAAGCACGGAGCTCTGTCTATGAGCCATAGAAGGGCCAGAGCGGAGGGGAAAGAGGTAGCTGAAGATTTGACTCTTAGGGCCTTTAAGGCTGGATCTGTTGGGACCTGAGACTTTTTTTCCCACAAGCTGGTACAGAGAAGGAAGATCTGTGAGGAGGGGACTGCAGTGACCTTGGAGAAAGATGACCATGCCCCTAAGGAGAAGTGGGTGTCCATGAATCCCGCAGGAATTGATGCTGGATTATATGCAGGAGGGGAGACAGTGAAGTAGTTGTGGTGTGACTTGTGGGGCACCAGCAGGGGCTGTTGGTACCCTGTGGCAGGCCTTCCTGAGGGGCTGAGCTCCAGTCCACTCCAGGGGTGCTCTGTCCTCCCAGCACTGGGCGATCAGACAGCTGGTTGTGCAGCTCTGCCGGTCCCCTGCCCACCCCTTTCCAGCTGTCTTAGAAGCCTGTGGGCTTCTTGTGCCTTTCTGTGTCACTCAGTGATAGACTGCGCCCAGGGCCCTGCGTTGAAGATGAGTGGCCAGAGGCCAGAGCTGTTGTCCTTTTCCTCCTCTGGGTCCCACCTCCCAGGGGGGCCAGCCTTACTCAGGACTGGCTTTGTCTGGGGGTGTGGGGCAAGGTGCTGCTTCTCATCTGTTCAGGGCCCACCCTCCTGCATGCAGACCACTTGCTGGGTTCTGATGGCAACCTTCCTCTGGACTTGATTGCCCACAGGCCTGCTGGCCAGAGTGGCCCAAGTCTGTGTTTCACCCACTTAGCTCCCTGGTCCTCTTAGTAGGTCCTTCGCCTGCCTGCACTTGATCTAACCTGGCAGCTGGCTGGCACCTACCCCAGAAAGAGCTCTCCTATGCCCTTCCGTCGTTCTCAGTTCTTCTCCTCCTCCTGCCTATAGAGTCTGTCTGTACCTGCTTCCACCCTCTTTCTTGG